CTCGAGGGCGTGGATATTAGGAAGGGCATGGTTTATCGGGATAGGCTAGAAGACGGACGATAGAGAAGTCTTGGATGATGGGAATGATGGGGGGGTCTTGGGTGATGGGAATAGTGTATCATAGGGACACTCCGTATCGTCTTATGTCAAGCATTTTGGCGGCAACATCAATGCCTGGCAACCTCGATACAGATAGTCTGGTATGGAAAATATTCCAGGTTCAGACCATGTCTGTGACATCGAGCGAGATGCGTGCAGGACTCGTGCACGAGAAATCGGCTGCCTTGGATAAGATAAACATGCTTCGTCAACATCGGAGACTACCAAGTATCATGGAATGGAATCACTCGGCAGGAGTTTGCGTAGAAACCTTTGTTCTTCGAGATAAGGGCCTCAATGCCTCGGCAACTGGTATTGGTATCCGCGTTCAATCAGGCAAAGTGATACAAGCCTGTGGAGTGCTTCTTGGACCAAAGCACGGAGCAACGGAAGATGGTCGATTCTCTGTGACAGTATGAGTGTTGCAGGCTCCTGACACTGTAAGCTATAGACAGCAAGCCTGCAGGCGAGGATTGATATAGTTAAGGCACATGATGTCCGTGTTTTCCCCGCAGTTCTCCTCTGGCTGGCGGCATTGAAATGTTGGTTAGAGTAGGCATGCTTCGCCACTACTCGGGACTACCACCGCAGACAGGCAGGTACATAATAGGATTGCTCGACAGAAGTCTGCGCGGAAACCTCCGAGCCCCGAGACGGTGCCGCGGCAACCGGTACCGATATCCACGTACAACCAGGCAAAGTGTGCTGTGTCCTTGCATATTACACGGTCGCCATGTCGTTCATTGCGAAGAACAGGTGGGGTGTAGAAAGGTAGCACCTGAGAAGGCAGGCCGGAGATTCGTCGGTGGTCGAGATGGGCTGCTATATTGGGCCTATCTGAGATGACCGCGTGGCCGTGGATAATATTAATGGGTATAGATAGTTGCTCGCGCTTCAGGCTAATGGTGGCGGCGCCATTCCTTTTGGAGAAAACTTCGACGTCGGACGCAAACAGCTTCGTGTGCTAAGGCTTCGAGGATCAGAAAGTATCTGCAACATCGATTTATCAGTTTCGAGATGAGCAAGCGACGAAACGTGTGCTTGCCTCGTCTGTTGGGTGGGTGCACTGCCAGTCAGTAATCCTTGCGCGCGCTGAAATTTTTTGTGACAACGGTTTTGAAGGCGATTGGTCCTGACATCTATGTCCACGTCGAATCACGTCGAGAAGAGTGTGATATGAAGCGGCAAAACGCATCCCAAGATATCAGCCAATCAGGCCCATGATGTTCGTGGCGATGGAGACAGAGTCGCACGAACCAACAACAATTGAGGGAGAGAGAGGAAGGATGAGCCGAACAAGCCGAGTACGGGTTCGCCCCGCTAAGCGGGATGAAAGCTTGTCGTACACTCTCAGCCACTGGTGGGGTCGTTATGGAAAGGGTGGCAATAGAAACTCATTCTTCTCAACAGCAACTCTCCCATAGCACCTAAATGGAGGTCGTCTCGATAACAACCGATCCCATTGTCCTTTCCATCCACAGGTTATCCGCTCTGCCCTAGAGTGCACGTCGGATTCTGCGCAAACAGTCGGGAAATATCGTAGCTGACAGGGTGACAGCTGTAATGGAGATTGTCATGCCGCCCGCAGGTCCCCGTAGTGGTGGGGATAACATAGTTCGGACATGCGGGGAGTAAAGAATCCAGCCTTCCACGATTTGAATGATGGTTAAAACAGATTTGACGGCTAGCGACGGCCGTTAGTTTGAGGCCAAAGAAAAAAGACGGTTAACGCACACATCTGCAACTGCTTAATTAACACCTTCCTCGGCGCATTGGTCACTGAAACCGACTTTTTTTTCAGGAAAACTCTAAGACGCCGATACCAGCGACCATCCAGCCTCTGTGTGCAATTCTCGTTCCTGGTTCTCACTGGTAACGGCTATCCTGGTCGCAGGTTCGGTGGCACATAGCGCGTCGCGTAGATCTCGCAAAAGAATGAGCTTTATGATCATAGAGACCCTTTCAATAGGTCAATAGCATAGCTGATAGTGTCGGTGTCAGTGGCCGTAAATCCCGGGATGGTAGAGTGGGTACGAATAATGATTAGACACAACGGGCTGCAGCCATGACGCGGACGCATGAGATTGAGAGAATGAACAGAAGTTAACCAACGCACACAAGTCTTCGACGTTAAATTTCCAGCGCTAACCTCCGTATCTACGTCTTGACACCGGCCTTTTTTCCGAGACCCAAAAGTTGTTGATCATCCCGCTTGTTTCTTCTCTGCTCCGATGGGAAACATCTGGAATAGGCCTAGTTTGAATTTACGCATTGCAACCATACTCCGTGTATATCGATAAGTTTCAGTAATGCAAGAGAAAGACGATTCGTTTTACCTATTACAAATTGACTCTGACTGCCACTCTCCTATCGATATCCACCATTGCTACGCCTAAGAGTGTCGAGCCTATCTCAGCCAAATGTCTCATAGCGACGTTCGTAGCGCACGAATTGGTCCATGGCGGAAGGAGATAAAGAGAACTTGCACGTGACAGGGATTCAAGTCGGCAGAAGTCGGTCCGAGTGCCGGTGAACAACTCTCTATTCCGACTCGTCAATTGACAAGATCATCTCGACTATCCAACCGCTGCCTGTTATCCTCTCTCGCCTTCCAAGTCCTCTCTCTCACCATGAAATCATCGCCAGGTGGTAATGCATTAAATTGGGCAGCATAAAAAGGAAGCTAATACTACTGAAAAGAAACAGCGGCTGCGATGAAAATACTTATGCAGGATTCTCATACCCTTGCAAACATCACTCTTACGTTTCCTCGATAATTAATCAATTACTATTTACCAACCCTGATTAGCTACCATCAAGGTGTCTCGGATACTCCATAAGTTCATCTCTTTACTCAAGTCATAGCCTCCATTTTTAGGTCGGTCTACCCATCAGAAAGGAAGGAAGTTGATCTTATTACTCGTCAGGCTGACGTGTCATTCAGGCCTTTAACCGCATTCTGTTCCGTCTACTGATATGAATTAATGGGATCGCATACTTTCATGTATATCCAGGTCGTTCGGAAACACTACCACCGCAGGCCAGTCCTCCATCTTGAGAGGTGGGCGACTTCAGATGCACCAGTGTCTTTTCACCAAAAGCCTTTCTTGTCCTAGAATGAAGTGCTTGGCGCTGAAGCTTTAACGTTCTTCCGTGATGGACTACGTAGCGCGCTCTTAGCTCTTCTGCATTCGATACAGCTTACGACAAGTATCATGACTGTAAGCTCGTCAACTCGGATGTATAAGCTACCCATAAGTCGGCACAGTGTGAACCTTGGTTTCTAAAGCGAGCGGCATCTCTGGTATCTATCCTCTCAGCCGCTTTCATCCTCCTAGGCGTGTTGCGTCTCTTCTCACCTTGCACACAAACATAATGTGCCGCCGTCGCCAGTGAGCAGACCATCCCTGCTGCATCGATATCCAGTCCCTGCTTATCACTTATGTCTAGAGTTAGGAACGTCTACTTCCAATGCGGTCATGCTCTCAACCTCGTATGTCCTTGTATAGATCACCGACCTTGCTAATCGCTGTCAACTTAGGCTGAAGAAATTGTACGTCAAGAATGCACAATTTTATTCACTTCAGGCTGAGTCTTCGCGTTTACGACGTTTCCCAAATTCGATGCGAAAATTCCAAATGCAAGTTTAGTCTATTCCATCCTAAGAGCTGCAAACCACCAGTCTGTCTGCATACCTGTTGGCAATAGTACGTCTATACTAGCCTACCTGAATTACCGTCCTCCTAACCAAATTACCTAGCCTTCGCTATCCCGAGCAGTATTGTATACCGTACAATTTTCCCGTTATTTCACGCTAACATCTACGATAGCCCCCAACATCGACGGATTGTGCCCTTCCTGCTGCTGGGAATACTACCAAGGATATCATTAAAATTTACATTATTATTATATAAACTCGGACCCTACGATGACCAGTTTTCGACTCGAAGGATATAAGTATACAAATAAGGTATTAATAGAAACCCTGTAGAATGCATGCCCCGTATTGCTGAATCATCATTTTACCCACGAGTAAGAATCTGGATTCATTTCCTGCGAAGCGCTCAATGATCTATGTAATAATGATTTAGACGATCACAGATTCTGTCATTGGCGTCAATTCAAGCATGTGCCAAGAAAGGGTTCCGTGCCTCTAGGACCATGCCATCGACGTCGGATACCCTGCGACATGATAGTGATGACGCTTCAAAGTCCAAAAGCCCATCCACTTTCTTAGCCCGGATAAATTAGAATTGATTCTCTGAGTCGGAAGCATTCGTTACCAGTGAATTGCTCAAGTGGCGCAAACATGTAGTTGTTACATCGTGTGACAGGCAAATCTCGCCCAAGTGGCGACTTTTTGAAGGTACTCCACTGAGAGCGATCCTCGGGTTCCTGTATGGCATTCCAATTTTCCAACACATGTAGGTTGATATCAGAGATGATAGGGTGTATATATCGGTCGTCGTAGATGTCGACGTGGTAGAGGGAGAAATTAGTGCCCGAAAGAAGGCCAGACACGACGAGCTGCAGCCATAATTCATGAGATTGAAAGAGTGAAAAGAAGATAACCAACCACACCTCTGCTGGCAGGTTTTACACTTGAAATCCCAACGTTAACATCATCCATATCTTATTGACACCGGATTTTCTTCTGGCACCCAAAGCCGTTGATAATCCAGCATGTCTCTGCTCTGCCCTGAGAGGAAGCATCTGGGACGGGCCGACTTAAACTTGTAGTCATGCTTTGTATAACAATCAGTCCCCATGACACAAGAAGAACAGCTCACTTACCCAGATACAAAGTAAAATAAATGCACTTTCTAAAGCTACAGTGTACATCACAGGTCTTTTGAAAAATTCCATGGTGTGTTCGTAATGTGGATCGCTCCGTGGTAGTGGTGGTACTAGTGGGGTGAGGGCCAACGCATCTGCGTGGCATGTCCGAGTCCTATGAATTTTCTTTCCGTCGGGCACATCAGTTTTCATATATTGGCCTACCTGTATATGAACATGTCACGGTCTTTGCCCGTCTTGTCTCGCATCATGTTGACGTCGTCAATATGACCTTCATGTAGCGAATGTCTACCTAATGCAATGCCGTCGTTAAACCATACTTGGTTCTCTGCATCTACAAATCGCGTGGTGAAGTGTCGCACTCCATAATAAACAATACCGGCCAACCGAGGCCACATATGTTCAGGATAGGTGACATAGTGGAAGCGCAATGCTCCATCGTATTCGTGAAGTGCTGAGGAGGCCACATAAGGATGAAAATTATATTGCGACCAAACTACGGTACGCCACGAGCAATGAACGAATAAACACACAAACTAACATTATTTCAGAACACTGCGAAGAAGAAGAGTGTTGCGAGCGACAAGGACCCGCAACGCACGCCGAAGATGAAGCGACAAATCGGGTTCGAGTACGAAGAGGAAGAGATAGAGACGGGAGGCAAGCACAGGAGAGACGGTAAGGTACAAAGTAGAAGGGGAAGAGGCGGAGGCGGAGGCACATTTTGAAGGAGAGAAAGAAAGAGATATTGGAATGACAGAGTAAGCTACATGGAAATAGATGAAGTAGAGATGACGAACGAGCTGACTTATGGGGCGATGAGGAAGAATAGAAAGAAACGACGAGAATATAAGAGAGAAAAACGGAAAAAGAAAGCAAAAAAAGAAAGTCAAATGAGAAAGAAAGAAAGAAAGAAACGGGCGGAAGAGGAAAAAAGCGAATATGTGAAACAGTGGAAGCAAAACGGAAAGTAACGGGTCAGGCAAGCGGATAAAGACGGCATTGAATAGAAATATTCCCACGGTAAGGCCCAGTAGGCGAGTCGGCAAAACCCGATAAGGTTTGATACCTCGAATAGATTTTCCCATGATAATTCAAACTGGCATAATAACCGATACCTATATTCATAGGACTCGGAACTGGCGGCGGGCGCCCGTCCCAATAAGGAATGACCAGTCCAAAGAAGTACATGCACGTAACAGAGATAGAGTCGGTGTCCCGGTCCGTGTACGGGTCCGATGAGCCCTGTTCGTTCCATCTGCATCAGGTTCTATCCCAGCCTTCATTGGTATAGCACTATCAAGTTAAGAAGTTCTTCATGCTACTATTTCACTTCCCAAAAGTTCCCATTTTACTTCGTTACCATCGAATTGCTACCTCAAACTCAACCCTAAAGGCACTGTTAGCAGGCTCTCTCAGGACCTCAAGTTTCGTGGACTTGAACGAAGTTACCTCGCTTTCCTGTTACCTGTATGCTCCTTTGCTTCTCGTAATTTACATCAGTCTAGGAATATGCAGCACTTTATTCTCGGTGATTCTCCCGTTTTGTTCACCATGACTAAGATTACCTTTACCTTGCTGGTAAGCAAGGTCTACCCGACCCGAAACTTCCCACCTATATTTACTCCCGAAATCTGCCAATTACAAATGTTCATTTGTATCTATTTGTTCACCTCGTCAACTCCCTCTGACCCTTTTCCTGCTTGAAATCTGCCAACATGAAAATCTTATTTGCCACTCTTCAACCATTCCCATTTCCATCTCGGGGCGTTTATAAAACTTTCTGGCACTTTCTGTCGCCTCGCGTTTGCTCTTATAAGTTGTGCCCACCCCCAATACTGGCTGCGAACGACGTCGCATCACCACCAATATTACAAGATATCAAAACACATGATATACCTGGAGGATAGCTGCCTATATCACACCATTAATGAGAAATTTGCAGAGACTGAATAAAGGGCTTCAGCAGTTCCTGGAGTGGCTCAAGGAATATAAATATGCATCTCCTTCGTCTCCTCAACTCCCATTGTGTCGATTTGGACCTCGGTTAGCCTCTGTTCTGTTCCGTGTTCATCACCTCCTCATTTCTTCACTACAGATTGACAATACCGCCCCAAACAAAGGGCTCCTATTGTCAGAGCACTGCGCTTGTTAGACTATCTCAACTATGGGAAGAACCAAATGTGCACCTCTTAGGCTTTGTATGCTCATATTTTCCAGTTTACTAAAAGCACTTGGGCCTGCAGAAGATGCCGATCCGGCAGCCGTAAACACCTATGACCCCACCCTGTGCATGAATGACAAATCAGAACAGATCGGACGCAATGAATACGTCTCTCTTATCCTTGCGCAACTCAAGGATCTCTGCTTCCCTATCGACCGCATGCAAATCTGGGACCAAAACTGGCTCGAGGCGATGAACCCTCCCGTCTTGATCAATGCAGTCTCTTCATTCCCCAATGTCTGCATCCTGGATTTTCACAATGTCGAGTGCAGCAAAGATCAGTTCATCTCTGTCCTTAGGTCTTACCCCAAACTCACGGATCTGAGACCCAGGACATCAGTATTCAAGAGTACGCATCGGGTAGCAGTGCGCATGCAGACCCAGTGCCACTTCTGCCAGTGTGTTAGCCACTAACTCTTATTGACTTAGATCAACTCTAGATCGCCACTCGCACTTCGGTGGACGATACAAGAGGGGTCAAAGTAGATGGAAGAGAGCCAGCCGCGAACTTAGATAGTCACGAAACAGGGAGCTTTGAGATAGGTAGATTAAACCTTAGCCGAAGCTGGGGTTTAGACCAGCTGAGGCTCTACTTAAATACACGTTGAGTAAACTAAAAATAGTACTGTGAGAATGTCCGATCAGAACCGCAGCATAGAGTAAGCATGAATGCGTAAGAAAAGAGAAAGAAAAGAAAAAGAAATGAATAATCCGTAACATTACCCCCCCTTTAAGACTCGTTCGTCCCGAATGAGTCCTCAGTCTCCTCTCCGCTTCCTTGTGACTGACTATAGAAGGACATGGCGCCGTCATCATCGTTGTCATCATCTTCGCTATCGAAATCCCAATTTTCCGTCACTTTTTGTAGGTGATTGATATTGGCCTCGTCATTGTCATCGGCTCCGTCCTCAGAAGGCGGGTCAAGTAGAATTGGTGGGTCCTTGTAGGGTCTGCCCTCCCTTCGGGAATCTTTGATTTCCTGTGCGCGTCGTCGTAGGTAGGAGTCGTGGACCTTAGGGTTGTCGAAGCCTGGATCTGATTTTGGTGGAGTGTACTTCCAAAAGTTGTTGTCCTGGACCTTGTTGTCCCGGAGCCACTTCTTGTTTCTCTCCTGTAACGCGCGATCCATCGATTCCGATATTTCCACTACTAGCCGTTGGAAGGACGAACTGGTAGATGTGGGTCCATTACATCGTTCGGCATCCGAGCCAGCTACTTCTCCTACCAAGTTGATTTCCTCATCGGAGTGCGCTGGAGCCGAACATTGGGAGGAGTAGATGGTCTCTACCTCCGTAAGACAGGGCGTAGTAGGGTCATGATAGTAGACACGAGGGAGATCACGGGGTATCTTGTCATCCCTGCCCATCGCCTTTCCCTTGTCATTCACTGTCCAGTGAATTTTTTGAATGCGGGCTTCGTATTCATTTACCAACTCCTCTGCATTGGCCATGTTAGAGCGTTTTACCCAGGAGTTTTCCTCCATCGGGTAACCCTTCCATTTGACAAGGTATTCAGTGATGGTGCGACGGTTTTGACCGCGCCCAATGGATTTGTCTCGTTGTTCGACGATTTCTTCTATCTCGTATTCTTCCTCATCGTCGATCAATTCCGGGGGTGGCCATTCAGGACGTGGTTGGTTCGAAAAGGACGCAGGGACGTATGGGGTTAGCAGGGACTCGTTGAAGCAGTTGTGAATCTTCCACGCCACGGGTAGCTTTAGCTCGTATGCTGAGGCCCCTTTCTTTGCGATGATTGAGAAAGGTCCTACTCTCCGGTCGCCGAGTTTTTTGGTAGGTCGTGGGAGGTGAAGGTTGGTTGCGTCAAGCCAAACCTTGTCCCCAATTCGGTATTCGACCGCTACGCCCTTGCGCTTATCGTAGGCCTTCTTCATCGATTCTGCTGCCCTTTCCAATGACTTCTTTGCCTCGTCTTGTGTCTTCCCTATTTCCTCCACTAGTTTCCCCGCTGCTGGGACAACGGCCGTCTTTTGGGGTTTCTTGATAACCTCTCCGTCTCTCCCGAAGATAACTTTGTAAGGAGAATACCCGGTGGCCGAGTGCTGGCGATTATTATGAGTAAAGGCGGCCAGGGGTAGCCACTCGCTCCAGTCATCCTGTCGGTCATTAACGAACATCTTGAGATATTTTTCGATCTCTTGGTTGACCCGTTCGGTCTGCCCGTCAGTCTGGGGATGATACGCGGTGGAGGGATTCCCTTCGACGTGGAGGAGTCGGTAAAATTCTTTCATGAATTTTGAGACAAATACCGACCCCCTATCGGAGATAACCTTCTCGGGCATCATGCCATAGGGCACGTAGACGTAGTCCCTGAGGATTTTGGCGAAGCCTAAGGACGTAAGTTCTTCTGTACAGGCGATAGGGATGATGGCTTTTGAGAAACGGTCTACTATGACTAGGATGGAGTCAAACCCCTTGGAGGTTGGGAGTTTGGTAATCATATCGACCGAAATGTGGGTCCATGGGTGCACGGGGATTTCGTTAGGATGAAGGGGGGCCCTCTTGGGTCGTCGATCCACCTTAGTTCGTTGACACTTCTCGCACCCTTTCACGAAGGCCTCCACGTCTCGGCGCATGCGTGGCCACCAGTAATCTCGGAGTATCAATTCCTTGGTCTTCTCAATGCCTGGATGCCCTGCCGTGACGTGGTCGTGCTTAAGGGCGATGATCTGCCCACGGAGGTCACGATCCATCGGTACGTAGATCCGTCCGTCATACCATAACAGGTCTTGGTCGCGTGAGACTCCCTTTTCATGGTTAAGGGAGTCGGATATTCCCCTGTCCCAGCGACGAGGATCGTGCGTAGCGACCTTGATCCTTTCATGCAGTTCCTCGGTGGTAGGCATAATTAAGGCCCTGAAGTGTTCCGCCTTGAGGACCACTATGTCCCGGTTGTCCTCCTTTCCTTGGTTGTGGTCAGCTCTTCGCGACAGAAGATCCGCCTTACGATTCTGCGCCCCTGGTTTGTGATGTAGTGTGAACTGATACTCCGCCAACTCAGTTACCCACCGTGCTTGCCATCGGTTGAGTTTCTGAGGTTTGCGGAAGTATTGGAGGTTAGAATGATCTGTCCACACCTCAAAGTCTTCCCTTGCCCCCATGAGGTATTGTCGCCACTCTTCAAGGGCGATCATTATGGCCAGGAGCTCCTTGTCGTAAATCTCATAGTTCCGCTCTGTGACCGACAAGGCTTTAGAGAGGAAAGCTATGGGCCTCCACTTCTCGTTTTGCCACTGAGATAGTACTGCCCCCACCGCCCCTTCGCTGGAATCTGCCTCCAGGCGGAAACGCCCTTCATTTAACGGGATGGCTAGTACCACGTCTTCCCGGAATAGTTCCTTGAGCTTTTCAAACGCCTTCTGCTGGGCCTCCCCCCATTTCCACTCCTGTTTCCCGGTGAGAATGGTTAACGGTTTGACGTGCTTGCTATAGTCCTGTATGAACCGTCGGTAGAAATTGCAGAACCCGAGGAAAGACTGTAGTTCTTGCTTCCTCCGGGGAACTGGCCAGTCCAAAAGACCCGCGATTTTAACAGGGTCCATGCGAAGCTTCCCTTCGCTGATGATCACCCCCAGGTATTCGGTCTCCTCCACCTCGAACTCGCACTTTTCCGCTTTAAGGAACAGCTTGTTCTCACGTAGGATCTGCAATACTTTACACACTATCCGTCGGTGCTCTGCCTTGGTCTTCGAGGCGATAAGTATGTCGTCTAGGTAGACCAACACCTCTCCCGCTGCTATGAGATCTTTGAAGATGTCGTTCATCATCCATTGAAAAGTAGCGGGGGAATTGGTGAGGCCAAAGAACATTACCAGGGGTTCATAGAGCCCCCGGTTGGTCCGAAACGCCGCCTTCCACTCGTCCCCTTGTTTGATCCATACGTTATTATAGCCCCACCGCACGTCCAGTTTAGTGAAGTACTTGGCTTTCTTTAGCTGGTCCATTAGCTCTCCGATAAGCGGCAACGGATAACGGTTCTTGATGGTCATCTCGTTGAGCTTTCGGTAGTCTTGGACCGGGCGTAACTTCCCATCCTTCTTCTTGACGAAGAAAAACGGCGAGGCCATAGGGGACTTGGAGGCTCGGATACGTCCAGTAGACAAATTCTCATCGAGGAACTTGTCTAGCTCTTCTTGCTCGGTCGGGTTGAGAGGGTAGACCTTACAGTCCAGGTTGGCATTAGCGTTGGGGATCAGCTCGATAGCATGATCCCAGGGTTTCTGCGGGGGTAACTCGTCAAAGTTCTCCTTGTCGAAAATATCCTTGAAGTCGCGGTATTCTTCCGGCACGACCTCTTCGAACGACTTGGTTGCCTTTCTGGCGTGAGCCTGAGCTGCCAATTCATTGGCTTTGGTGCCCATGGCTCTCACATGAAAGGCTTCTTCAAAGTCTATCACCAGGATGGTGTCCCCTTCTTCGTACTCATCCCACCGCGCCGAAGGGTCGGTGTCAGGAAGAGAAAAAGGGATTTTCCTGCACGTACACCGGGCTAGGGTAACTGCTCCGGTGTCCCAGTCGATGAGCGGGTTATGACGCTGTAACCAGTCATGCCCCAAAAACAAGGGAGTGGAACCTAGATCTACTACTGCCAATTCGATCCGTTCCACGTGGTCCCCTATACGCAGCCGTACTTCGGCATATTCGGTGATATCCCCTCCTTTGTTGCGCG